AGCAGTTAAATAATGTTAATGAGTTAAAGCTAACTGAACTGCCTGGTATGAAGATAATTCTTTGCTAAAAAGCACAAACAGACCCAACTAGGAATTTGAGGAAAACTACTACTCTTCCTCACAAAATACACATATTATATATATAATTAAGTGCCATTTCTTACCAAGTAAGGAATTTTACAGGGGCCCAGAAACCTTCTAGAGATCACAGTGCTATAATATTCACTACTATATGCCCCACTGTTTATAGAGTAGCACCTGTTACACAGTTGGTATGCAATATAAACATAAACATAATGAAGGGAAAAAATTAGTGCCAATCACATGGCCAAGAATTGGATTTAAGGGGCCAGTATTGTGGTGCAGTGGGTGACACTGCACTTGTAATGCCGGCATCCCATCTCAGGGTGCCCATTTGATTCTGGCTACTCCATTTCCAACTCAGCCCACTGCTAATGTGCCTGAGAAGGCAGGGGAGGATGGATCAATTACCTGGTACCCTGCCACCCGTGGGAGACTGGGATGGCTTCATCCTGGCCCAGATCTGCAGCCATTTGGGGCGTGAACCAGCAGATGGATTATCTGTCTCTGTCTCTTCCTCTCTATAGCTATTTCAAATAAATAAGCCAATTAATTTTAAAACTGGCTTTTATTACCCTAAATCAGGCTGAACAAACCCAATGTTTTCAGAATCATCCCAACTATTTCCATGCCATTTAGGAAAAATTCCCTGGTGCACATGATATGGAAATGCATGTATTCATAGATGCTTCAAAATGGTTAAGAATAAACTGGCACCAGTTTATTTAAAAAACTGTTTCTGTTAACATGGAAAAACTGTGTTTGGGTGTAATATAAAAGCATTTGCCTCTGAATCATTGCCAAATACGTCACTTTATGTTTATGTTTAGAATATACAGACATCTACACTTAGAATGAGCTGGGAAAAAAAGATGCAGAAGGAATGAAACCAGGGAAAAAAGTCAAGAAGAGCTAAAGCAACAGTAATGTATATATTTCTTCAATGAAGAAGCTAAAATTTCAATACTTGAGTTTACAAATGTTAAGAGGCAGCATGGCGTGTATCAGTTAAGACACGGCAATTTAGAACGTGAGCATTCCAAATTAGAATGCTCAGACTCCTGTCCCAACTCTGCTGATCCCAGCTTTTTGATAATGCAGACATCAGGAGGCACAGTGAGGACTCAAAAAGTCCTTGACAACCATGTGGGAGATCAAGATTGAGTTCATGGGGTGTAGCGCATAAAGCCACTGCCTGCGGTGCCGGCATCCCATATGGGTGCCAGTTCAAGTCCTGGATGCTTCAATTCCTTTTTTTTTTTTTTTAATTTTTTTTTAAGATTTTATTTATTTATTTGAGAGGTAGAGTTACAAAAAGTGAGAGGGAAAGATAGAAAGGTCTTCCTTCTGTTGGTTCACTCCCCAAATGGCCACAATGGCTGGAGCTGTGCCGATCCAAAGCCAGCAGCCAGGAGCTTCTTCTGGGTCTCCCATGTGGGTGCAGGGGCCCAAGCACTTGGGACATCTTCTACTGGTTTTCCAGGCCACACCAGAGAGCTGGATTGGAAGAGGAGTATAACCTATTCCAAAGCGCCGGCTCCCTTGCTGCTCCACTTCCAATCCAGCTCTCTGCTGTGGCCTGGGAAAGCAGTAGAAGATGGTCAAGTCCTTGGGCTCCTGCACCCGCATGGGAAGACCCAGAGGAAGCTCCTGGCTCCTGGCTTTGGATTGGCGCCGTTCTGGCTATTGTGGTCAATTGGGGAGTGAACCAGCAGATGGAAGATCTCTTTTTCTCTGTGCCTCTACTTCTCTCTGCATAACTATGACTTTCAAAAAAGTAAATAAATCTTAAAAAAAAAAGATTGAATTCATGGCTCCTGGCTTTAATGTGGCCCAGTACTAGCTGTTACAGGAATTTGGGCAGTGAAGCAGTGGATGGACCTCGGTCTCTTTTCTTCTCTAACACTTTACCTTTCAAATAAATGTAAAAAAAAAAAAAAGTTTCTGTAAAGAAAAAAACTTAAGAAATGCCAACAGTTAACAACAGAAAAGGCATGAATGTTTATTAAACATATACTATGGTCCTAACATCATTTCTAATACACAAGAGTACATTAAAAGGTCCATAAGAAAGCAGAGCCAATGCTGCGGCTCATTAGGCTAATCCTCTGCCTATGCCCCAGGTTCTAGTCCCGGTCAGGGCGCCAGATTCTGTCCCGGTTGCTCCTCTTCCAGTCCAGCTCTCTGCTGTGGCCCGGGAAGGCAGTGGAGGATGGCCCAAGTGCTTGGGCCCTGCACCTGCATGGGAGACCAGGAGGAAGCACCTGGTTCCTGGCTTCGGATTGGCGTAGCTCCGGCCGTAGTGGCCATTTAGGGGGTGAATCAACGGAAGGAAGACCTTTCTCTCTGTCTCTCTCTCTCTCACTGTCTAACTCTGCCTGTCAAAAAGAAAATTAAAAAAAAAAAAAAAAAAAAAAAAGAAAGAAAGCAAGCAAGCATGATTTAAAGATAAGCCTAGGGGCTGGCATTGTGGAATAGCAGGTTAAGCCTTCGCTTGGAATGCCAGCATCCCATATAGGAGTGCTGCTTGGAGTCCCAGCTGCTCTACTTCTGATCCAGATCCCTGCTAATGTGCCTAGGAAAGCACTGGGGCAATGTCCCTAGTCTGGGAAGATAGCAGAACATGGCTCAAGTAGAAGTCCAGGATAGAGTTCTTGGCTCCTGGCTTTGCCTGGCCCAGATTGGGCTGTTGTAGCTGTTTGGGGAATGGACCATAAGATGGAAGATCTCTCTCTCTCTGTCTGTATCTGTCTGCCTTTCAAATAAAAAAGCAGATAAATCTGGAAGGGGAGGAAGCACAGGAAGGAGGAGAGAGAGAGAAGCAAGAAGAGGAAGGAAGGAAGAAAGGATGGAGAGAGTGAGAGAGAGCAAGAGAGCACAGCAGCACTGTTCAATAGCAGCACAGCAGGTTAAGACATCACTTCTGAAGCTGGCATGCCATATAGAAGTACCAGTTTAAGCTCTGGTTGTTCTGCTTTGCAATCTGGCTTCCTGTTAATGTGCCTGAGAAGACACCTTGTGGCTTTGGCTTGAACCAGACTTGCTGTTACAGTCTTGGAATAAACCAAAGGATGGAAGAGCTTTCTCTCTCTCTCTTCTTTCAAATAAATAAATGTTTAAAAATATATAAAATTTCAGAGTTGCTAAAAAAGGCTGAAGTAAATCCAAGGGAAAGATTAGATTTGGTGGGTAAATTTTAAGGAAGCAAAGTTCATAGAATATGAGAATAATTTTTTTAAAAGATGTATTTACTGGGGCCGGTGCCGTGGCGCACTAGGTTAATCCTCTGCCTGTGGTGCTGGTATCCCATATGGGTGCCGGTTCTCGTCCCAGCTGCTCCACTTCCAGTCTAGCTCTCTGCTGTGCCCCAGGAAGGCAGTGGAGGATGGCCCAAGTGCTTGGGCCCTGCACCCACTTGGGAGACTGGGAGGAAGCACCTAGCTCCTGGCTTCGGATCGGCACAGCTCCAGCCGTTGCGGCCACTTGGGGAGTGCACCAAGGGAAGAAAGACCTTTCTCTCTCTCTCTTTCTCTCTCACTGTCTGCAACTCTGCCTGTCAAATAAATAAATAAAATGTTTAAAAATAAATAAAAAATTAAAAAAGATGTAGTTATCTATCTATTTGAGCAGTAGAGTTACAGACAGTGAGAGGAAGAGACAAAAAGAAAGGTCTTCCATCTGTTGATTCACTCCTCAAATGGCCACAGTGGCCGGATCTGAGCTGATCCGAAGCCAGTAGGCAGGAACGTCTTCCAGGTCTCCCATAGGTACAGGGGCCCAAGTGCCTGGGCCATCTTCTACTGCTTTCCCTGCCTACAGCAGAGAGCTGGACTGAAGAGGAGCAGCTGAGACTAGAATTAGTGCCCATATGGGATGCTGGCACCATAGGTGAAGACTTAACCCACTGTGCCATAGTGTGGCCCTGAGAATAACACTTTTAAAGGATTTTTTAAATTTTATTTGAAAGGCAGAGTTAAAGAGAGGCAGAGGCAAAGAGAGGGGGGGGGGGGGATCTTCCATCAAATGGTTCATTCCCCAAATGGCTGCACTTGCCAGAGCTTAGCTGATCCGAAACCAGGAGCCAGGATCCTCTTTTTATAAAAAGATTTTTATAAAGGACTGTATCAGTACCGTTTTTCTGTTTTCCTCAGAACACCAATGAAGAAAGATAATACGTAACAAAAACAGAATATTATACTGTGTCAAGATGAACTGGCCAAACTAAGATAGTTAGAAATAAACCATGCTCAGGCCAGCGACACGGTCAGTGGGTTAAGGGGCCACTTCTGCCAACTGCAACACTGGCATCTCACATGGGTGCTGTTTTGAGTCCTTAGGTGCTCCACTTCCGATCCATGCATCGGAGGATGGCCCAAATCCTTGGGCCTCTGCACCTATGTGGGAGACCTGGAAGAAGCTCCTGGCTCTTAAATTCTGCTTGGCCCAGCCCTGGCCATTGCATTCATTTGAGGAGTGAACCAGCGGACAGAACATCTCTAACTTTCTCTCTCTTCTCTCTGTTCCTCTGGCTTTCAAATAAATAAATAAAATCCTAAAAAAAAAAAAAAAAAGAGAGAGAGAGAGAGAGAGACTACACCTAAGAAAAAAGATAACTAAATGAAAACAAAACAACACTTTTCTTTGCTTTCTCTGTGTATGTTTTTCTGTGCATATTATTTATACATTGTTATTAATAACCTGGGTGTCAGAAGTACAAGGTCTATGTCCTGATAGGGACTGAACGTATAATTAACGAGTGTCCGCTATGGGTACTGTATTAGGCACTAGGAGAGGTCCTGGGAATTCCCCAACTCCACAGAAAGGAGCATCCCTGTTGCCTTACAAATCATTTTCCTAAACAAAAGAAAACAAAGCAAGAAACATTCAAATAAATACAGAAAGAGTCCAACATAAGATACCTGACAATGCATTTCCATGAAGAACCATCTTGATCATCTTGTTCCTCTATATACATTCTGACATTGTGATCCTGATCCAACTGGTACCAGTACATGAGGCCATCTTTGTCTCGCCCAATTGGTTGGAGACGCATAGTATCAGCATCCTCCTCATTAATAATGTTCTTGAATTTAAGATTGTCATCAAACTGACACTCGCAGAGATACTGAAAAATAATCATACATGGTTTAAAATAGCCCATAAAGATCCCTCCATCATGGTAAATATGATACAACTATAGAAATGACTCAAGGATGGGAGCAAACGGAACCTAGTTTTGCTACTTCATTATACTTTCCTCTCTTTTCTAGAATCTGTTTAGAATAATCAATTTAAAATAAAAATATAAATGTTAACAATTATTAAGTTGGAAACAACAATTGATACACAAATTAAACATATCTATTTCTAAAGTATGGAGTCTGCACTAAAAAGCTCCAAATTGGCTCGCTAATGGCATAAATTATTCTTTTGTTAAAATATTCATTTATATTTTAATTGACAAAAATTATATATAATAGTGTACATGCTTTGTACATGTATACAGTGTGGAATGGCTGAATAAAGTTAATCAACATGTAGCATTTAATGTTTTATTGTGGTAAAAACACTTTAAATATATTCTTTGCAATTTTCAAGTGTGCAACATTTTGTTATAATTATAATTACCATATGGAACAATAGATACCCTAAACTAATTCCTCTTTTCTAAGTGAATTTTTGTAAAGTTGGCCATTATCCCAACAATCTGCCTTCTATCAGCCCCTCAATCCCTAGTAACCACTATTCTGTTCTCTTTGTCCATGAGTACTATTCTTTTAGATTCTACACATAAGAGAGATCATGAGGCATTTCTTCTGTGCTTTATTTATTTCACTTGGCACTCTCAGGTTGATTCCTTATGTTGGCGATTATGAACATAGAAATGCACATACCTTGCAGTTTTTGTTGTGGCGCCATGGGTTAAAGCTGCCAATTGCTGTGCCAGCATTCCATATCAAAGTGCTGGTTCAAGTCCTGACTACGCCATTTCTAATCCAGCTTCCTGCTATTGTTCCTAGGAAAGCAGCAGATGATGGCCCAGCCTAGATATTTATGGACATTTGGGGAGTGAACAAGAGGATGGAAGATTTCTTCCTCTCTTTCTCTCTCCCTCACTTGCTCTCAACTCTACCTTTTAATTAAAAAAAAAAAAAAAACTTTAATTAAGAAAAAGAGAAGTACACATATTTCTTTACAAGCTGGCTTCATTCCTTTTGGTTATTTACCCAGTAGTGGATTTACTGAATAAGGATAGCTCTATTTTTAAATTTTTGAGGTGCTGCCATACTTTTTCCATCATGTCTGTACTATACTTTGTCACCAACAGAACACGAGTGTTCCCTTTTCTCCGTATCTTTACCAACACTTATATCATAGCTGTTTGATAAGTCATCCTAACAGGTATGAGGGGATATCTCATTGTGGCTTATTTTATACTGAGTGATTAATGATGAGAAACACATTTCCATATATATGTTGACCATTTATTTGTCTTCTCTTGAGAAATGCCTATTTAGATCTTTGGCCTATTTTTTAAAAAATAATTTATTAGAGATAGAGATGAGAGAGTACCTCTTCAAACTACTGGTTCACTCCCCAAACGGCCACAACAGCTTTGGCTGGGTAAAGCCTAAGCCAGGAGCATGGAACTCCACTCGAATTTCCAATGTGGGTGGTAGGAGCCAAAGCACATAGGTTACTTTCCCAGGCACAACAGCAGGGAGTTGGATCAGAAGCGTAGACACTGAGACCTGAACCTGTGCTCCTAAACAGGATGCAGCATTGCAGCTGGTGGCTAAAACCGTTGTGCCACAATGCCAGCTCCTTTTGTCCATTTTCAAATTATCCGTTTTCTCACTAGTGAGTTGAACATACATATATATATCATATGCTATTAATCCTTTATCAGATGTATTGTTTGCAAATATTTTCTCCAATTCTGTAAGTTGTCTCTTCACTAGGTTGATCTTTCCCTATGCCTAAGCATTTTTATTTGATGCAATCCCATTTAACTATTTTTGTTCCTCGGCTTTGTTTAAAAAATATAATTTATTTATTTGAGAGGTAGAGTTACAGAGAGAGAGAGAGCAAGAGACAGAGAGAAAGGTCTTTCATCCACTGGTTCACTCCGTAAATGGTCACAATGGCCATAGCTAAGCTGATCTGAAGCCAGGAGCCAGGAGCTTCTTCCAGGTTTCCCATGTGGGTGCAGAGGCCCAAGCACCTGAGCCATCTTCTACTGCTTTCCTGGGCACATTAGCAGAGAGTTGGATCGGAAGAGGAGCAGATGGGACACAAACTGGAGCCCATATGGGATGCCAGAACCATAGGCACAACACCTAGCCCTATTTTGCTTTTCTTCTTAGTTTTTGGTTTTATAGAAAAAAAAAGTCTCTGTCCAGATCAGTAACAAGTAGCTTTCTCCATTAAAAAAAAAAAATCCGATTTAGTTATTTATTTGAAAGCAAAGTTACAGCGGTGGGGGTGACAGAGATCTCCCATCTGTTGGTTCACTCCTTAAATGGTCACAAAGGCCATGCTGAAGCCAGAAGGTCTCTCACTAGGGTGTAGGGGCCCAAGGACCTGAGCCATCATCCACTACTTTCCCAGGCAAATTAGAAGCATGCTGGATCAGCAGTAGAGCAGCTGGAACTAGAACTGGCAACCATATGGGATGCTGTCATTACACACAGTGGCTGAACATACTATGCTGTAACACTGGCCCCAGCTTTACCCAGTTTCTTTTTTTTTTTTTTCCCTTTTTTAGATTTATTTATTTTATTTGAAAGGCAGAGTTAGAGAGAGAGGAGACAGAGAGAGACATCTTCCAACTGCTGGCTCACTCCCCAAATACCCACAACAACCAGACTGGGCCAGGCGGAAGCCAGAAGCCAGGAGCTTCTTTTGTGTCTCCTACATGGATGTAGTGGCTAAAGATCTTGGGCCATCTTCTACTTCTTTCCCAGGTGCATTAGCAGGGAGCTGGATCGAAAATGGAATAACTGGGACTCAAAATGGCGCCCATATGGGATGATGGCACTACAGGCAGTGGCTTTAATTTGTTGTGGTACATTGCTGCCCCCAAATTTCCCTATTTTTCCCCCATAATTTCACTTTTTTTTTCCTTCACATTTTTGTCAAAGATCAGTTAACTGGATGCACATGTGTGGATTTGCTTCTGGCCTCTGTATTTGGTTCTATGTATGCCTCTATACTACCAGCACACTTTATTATAAATTTGTAGTAGACTTTGAGATTGGCAGGTAGTACGTCTTCAGCTTTGTTCTTTCTGTTCAAGAATGCTTTAATAGTCTTTTGTGGTACCATATAAATTATGGGACTTTTTTCATTTTTAAATTTCTGTTTACCATCTCTTAGAATCTTAATAGGATTCTATTTAACCTATAGATTGCTTTGAGTAATATGGACACTTTAACACTATGAATTCTTCCAGTATATGCCTAGGATCTTTCCATTTGCGTTTTCAATTTCTTTTCTCAATGTTTTACAGTTTTCACTATGGAGATCTTTCTCCTCTTTGGTTAAATTGATTCCTATATATTTTATTTTTCTGATATTGTAAATAGGACTTTTTTCTTTGTTTTTGCTAGTTCTTCATTAGTGAAAAGAAATGTTATTAATTTTTTAATGTTGATCCTGCAACTTTCATTTATTATTTCTATCATTTTTTGGTGTTTTCTGGGTTTAGTATATGCAAGATGAAGCTGTATACAGTGAAAACTTAAGTTCTTCCTTTCTTGTTTTTATTGAATTATCTGAAAGAGAGTTATAGACATAGAGGTAGAGACAGAGATAGATCTCCCAACTGCTGATTCACTCCCCAAGTGGCTGTAATGGCCAGGGCTGAGCCAGGCTGAAGCCCAGAGTTTCATCGAGGTCTCCCATGTGGGTGCAGGGGCCCAAGCACTTGGGCTGGCTCCACTGCTTTTTCCAGGCCATTAGCAGGAAGTTGAATCAGAAGTGGAACAGCCAGGACTCAAGCCCATATGGGATGCTGGTGTAGTGGACAGCAGCTTTACACTCTAAGCCAACACTGGCCCCTAACTTCTTCCTGTCTAATTTGAATGCCTTTCATTTATTTTTCTTGCTTAACTGCTCAGACTAGGACTGCAAATCCTTTGTTGAATACATGTGAAAAGCGTGGGCATCCTTGTCATGTACCTGATCTTAAAGAAAAAAACTTTTGGTTTTTCTATTGTTGAGTATAATGTAAGCTATGGATTTGTTTTAAATGGTCTTTACTGTGTTCAGCACACTCCTTTGATATCTAATTTGTTGAAAGCTTTATGATGAAAGCAAAGTTGAATTGTCAAATTCTTTTCTTACATTTATTGATATGATCATTTGACTTTTACCCTCCTTTTTTCACATTTACTGTAACTGCATATGTTGAAAGATCCTTGCATCGCAGGATCCCAGGATAAATCCCACTTTATCATGGTGAGTCATCATTTGTTTTTTAAGATTTATTTATTTATTTGAAAGTCAGAGTTACAGAGAGGAGAGGCAGAGAGAGAAAGAGAGTTCTTCTATCCGATGGTTCACTCCCCAAATGGCTACAATAGCCAGAGCTGCGCTGATCCAAAGCCAGGAGCCAGGAACTTCTTCCAGGTTTCCCACACGATACAGGAGCCCAAGGACTTGGGCCATCTTCTACTGCTTTTCCAGGACATAGAGCTGGATTGGAAGTGGAATAGCCGGGACTCGAACTGGTACCCATTTGGGAAGCTGGCACTGCAGGGAGCAGCTTTATCCTCTATGCCATGGCGCGGGCCCCCAGTCATCATTTTAATTCCTTTTAGATGTAGTTTGCTGGTACTTTTTTCACAATTCTCACATTTATATTCATAAAGGATACTAGTCTGTATTTTTGTTTTCCTATGGTGTCTTTGTCTACTTTTAGAATTAGGTTAATGCTGGACTCATAAGCTGAGGTTGGAAGTATTCTTGCCTCTTTAACTTTTTGGAAGAGTTTGAAAAAGACTGGTATTAGCTATTCTTTAAATGATTGGTAGAATATAGTTGTGAAGCCATATGGTCCTGGGCTTTACTTTGATGAAGATTTATGATTACTGTTTTAATTTCCTTACCTGCTAATAGTCTGCTCAGAATTTCTGTCTGTTTGTTTGTTTATTTATTTATTTATTTTTAAAGATGTGTTTAGCTATTTGAAAGGTGGAATTACGGACAGAGGAGAGATGGAGAAAGGTCTTCTATCCACTGGTTCACTCCCCAAATGGCCCCAACAGCCAGAGCTGGGCTGATCCGAAGCCAGGAGCCTGGAGCTTCTTCCTGGTCTCCCAGGAAGCAGGGGCCCAAGGATTTGGGCCATCTTCTTACTGCTTTCCAAGGCCATAGCAGAGAGCTGGATCAGAAGTGGAGCAGCTGGGACACGAACCAGTGCTTGTACAGGATGCCGGCATTGCAGGCAGCACCTTCACTCATGGTGCCGCCTGCTCTATTTTTAATTCAGTGCTGGAAGATCCCATGCTTCCAGGAATTTATGCATTTCTTCTAGGTTTTGAATTTTTTGGCATATAATTACTCATAGCAGTCTCTTGTGATCCTTTTTTATTTCTGTGGTAGCAAATGTCTCCTCTTCCACTTCTGATTTTATTTATTTCAATCTTCTCCTTTCCTTAAGCTAACAAAGTTTTTGCTTGTCTTATCAAAAGATTAACTGTTTATTATTCTTTTCTACTGTTTATCTAAGGCAGAACAACAGAGAGAGATGGAGAAACACAGAGAAATTCATGCCCTGGTTCACTCTCCAAATGGTCACAACAGCCAGGTCTAGCCCAAAGCCAGAAGCCAAGAATTCCATTCTGGTCTCCCATATGTACAGCAGTGGCACAAGTACTTGGCCCATCTTGTGCTGCCTTTCCAGTAGCAACAGCAGGAAGCAGAGTGGGAAGAGAAGCAGCCAGGAGGTCAACTAGCACGTCGATATGGGATGCCAGTGTCACAAATGGCTGTTTAACTTGGCTGAGCTACAACACCAGATCCCACTTTAGTTTTTGAGAAGTCATGTTAGAATGTTACATTTCTTCCTTCTTGGTTAATGTAGGAATAACTTACTGCTATAAATTTCCTCCATAGATGTGCTTTGGCTGCATTCTGTCAGTTTTGGTATACTGTGTTTCTATTATCATGTTTCTCAAGATTCTAAAAATTTTTCTTTAAATTTTTTTCTGCTTTGATGTGTGTGTGTGTGTGTGTGTTTTATAGACAGTGACAGAGAGAGACAGAGAGAAAGGTCTTCCTTCCATTGGTTGACCCCCCAAATGACCGCTGCGGCCGGCGCTGTGCCGATCCAAAGCCAGTAACCAGGTACTTTTTTCTGGTCTCCCATGCAGGTGCAGGGGCCCAAGCACTTCGGCCATGCTCCACTGCCTTCCCAGGCCACAGCAGAGAGCTGGACTGGAAGAGGAGCAACCGGGATTAGAACCCGGCGCCCATATGCGATGCCAGCACCACAAGGCGGAGGACTAAGCAAGTGAGCCACGGCGCCGGCCCCCTGATGTACTACTGTTTTTTAAGAAGTTACACAGGGGCCAGCCCTGTGGCTTAGTGGGCTAATCCTCTGCCTATGTTGCCAGAATCCCAAATAGTGCTGGTTCAAGTCCCAGTTGCTCCACTTCCGATCCAGCTCTCTGCTATGGCCAGGGAAAGCAGTTGAAGATGGCCCAAGTGCCTGGGCCCCTGCACCCGGGTGGAAGACCCAAAAGAAGCTCCTGGCTCCTGGCTTCGGGTGGGCTCAGCTCTGGCCATTGAAGTCATCTGGGAAGTAAATCAGCACACGGAAGATCTTTCCCTTTGTCGGTAACTCTACCTCTCAAATAAATTATGAAATATTTAAAATAAATAAATGAGACAAAAAAAGGTTTAAAACATCATGTTATAGTTTCAATAATCCTTTCCTACAGCTTTTTTTTTTTTTTTTTTGGACAGGCAGAGTGGACAATGAGAGAGAGAGAGAGAGAGAGACAGAGAGAAAGGTCTTCCCTCCGTTGGTTCACCCTCCAATGGCTGCTGCAGCCAGCGCGCCGCGCTGATCCGAAGCCAGGAGCCAGATGCTTCTCCTGGTATCCCATGCGGGTGCAGGGCCCACGCGCTTGGGCTATCCTCCACTGCACTCCTGGGCCACAGCAGAGAGCTGGCCTGAAGAGGGGCAACTGGGACAGAATCCGGCGCCCCAACCAAGACTAGAACCCGGTGTGCCAGCGCCGCAAGGCGGAGGATTAGCCTATTGAGCTGCGGTGCTGGCCTCCTACAGTTTTTTAAATTAACATTACTTTTAAAATGTTTTTTCATGTTTTTAAAATTTTTTTTCAATTTTAATTAGTCAGTGTGATATGCACATACAATTCTACAAACAAAGATTTTTTATTTATTTGAAAGGCAGAGTTAGAGAGATCTTCCATATGGTGATTCACTCAACTGCAGCAATGGCAGTCTGACTGGGTCAGGCTGAAGACAGGAGCCAGAAGCTGCATCCTGGTCTCCCAAGTGTGTGCAGGTTCCCATGGACTTGGGCCATCTTCCATTGCTTTCTCAGGTGCATAATCAGGGAACTAGACACAGATATGTAACAGCTGTAACCCATATAGGATGCTAGTATCTCAGACAGTGGCTCATCTTGTTAACACCACAACACCGGCCCAAATCAATATTACTCTCCAAGGGACAATATGCTTTGTGAAGTTTGTGATATATGCAGTTTTAAAGTATGGTAGTCTTTCAGTGATGGCTACCTCTGGAAAATACTCTTACTTACAAATTAATTCAAGTGAATAAACCGGAAGAATTATTTCCTGTTATTTATTCTGTTTATAATTAGGTTTTATAGTCAGATTTCTCCCCACCTTCTCTGCTCAGGTAGATAATCCATGAGATCCCTTCCACATCCTTTTTATTTATTTATTTATTAAAGATTTATTTATTTATTTGGAGGGCAGAGGCAGAGAGAGAGAGAGAGAGATCTCCCTTCTAATGGTTCACTCCCTAAATGGCTGCAACAGCAGGAGCTGGGCTGATCCAAAGACAGGAGTTAGGAACTTCTTCCAGGTCTTCCACGTGGGTGCAGCAGCCCAAGCACTTGGGCCATCTTCTACTGCTTTCCCAGGCCGTAGCAGAGAGCTGGATTGGAAGCGGAGCAGCCAGGTCTCAAACCAATGCCCATATCACATACTGGCACCACAGGCAGCAGCTTTACCTGCTATGCCACAGCACCGGCCTCTATTTTTATTTTTATTTATTTATTTATTTTTTTTTTTAGCATTTATTGATTTATTTGAAAGGTAGTTACAGAGAGAGAGGGACAGACAGGGAGAGATCATCCATCCATTGGTTCACTCCCCAGATGACTGCAATGGCCAGGGCTGGGCTGGGCAGAAGCCAGAAGCCAGAAGTTTCTTTGGGTCTCTATGTGGGTACAAGGACCCAAGTCTTGGGTGATCTTCTGTTGCTTTCCCAGGCACATCATCAGGGAGCTGGACTGGAAGTAGTGCAGCTGCCCATGTGGGATGCCAGCATTGCAGGCAGCGGCTTAACCCATCATACCACAATGCTGGGCCCCTTCCATAGCCTTTTTGCCTGTAGTCTGTGAGTCCAATAGTCACTAAACTTTTTTGATCTAGCATCTATATCACTAATCAAATTTATAACACATGGTCAGTAATTATGTGTGTCAGATATTATATACATGTATTTATTTATTTAATGCATAAGCTTTACTAACAACTGTACATGATTTTTAAATGTTATTTCACAAATTCAGATTTTAAAAAATTACTGAGTAGAACTTCTGTGACTTTGTTCTGATACACTAATAATCATCTTACATACCCCTTTGGGACCATCAACTGGTTGGGGTCAGATGACATATATGATAATACAACCTGAAATATGAACTTACTATGACTTTTGATTTTCCTAGAAAATATCTTATGTATCTTAAAAACTTTTGTGTAAGTTCTAGGAACAATTAACATCTAATAACAAAATAATAGCTATTTTATTTTTACTTTCTATCTCCAAAATAGTAAAGCATACACTGACATCTTATGTTAAGAAGCATCATAAAAAAAAAAAAAAAAAAAGCATCTTGAGGTCCTGTGAACAACAAATGTACTGATAAAACACTGTCAATTTAGAGGTAGCGAAGAACTCTCCTTTTCTTTTTCACCTGGGAGTATTTTTTGTCCTGTTTATCCTGGCCACTAATGAGAGCCAATACACGAACTGGGGAGGAAAAGAAAGGGAAACTCAAATGTTAGAATTAGCCTACTTTGGCCGGCGCCGCGGCTTACTAGGCTAATCCTCCGCCTTGCGGCGCCGGCACACCGGGTTCTAGTCCCGGTCAGGGCACCGGATTCTGTCCTGGTTGCCCCTCTTCCAGGCCAGCTCTCTGCTGTGGCCCGGGAGTGCAGTGGAGGATGGCCCAAGTGCTTGGGCCCTGCACCCCATGGGAGACCAGGAGAAGTACCTGGCTCCTGCCTTCGGATCAGCGCGGTGCGCCGGCCGCGGCAGCCATTGGAGGGTGAACCAACGGCAAAGGAAGACATTTCTCTCTGTCTCTCTCTCTCACTGTCCACTCTGCCTGTCAAAAAAAAAAAAAAAAGCCGACTTTGAGATGATCTGTTTTAATCAAGTATATTTGGTTAAGTGAAGATTTGAGTAGAACACAAAAGCAATCATTTGGCCTTCTAGAAAACAATATCAAATTATCAATTTTTAGTAAATCAGTAGAAGAATATCCACAGTTTACAGCATATAGCAATGATTAAGAAAGCTGAACACAATCAGTAAAGCTCCTTTAGGGTAACTGTTTACCCATATCCCAGTTAAACTTAGATTTGTGCTGAAAAACAAAAAATCCAGTAACTTTCAAGGACAGGCTGTTTTGTCACACATGAAAAGGGAAGAATCTATGGTTCTTGTATAATAATCGTAACAAACAACAAAATTATTACCTTTAAGAGTGCTAATTTGCATTCAACACTCATTTCAAGATAGCCCTTCTTCTCCATCTCCCATGCCCACGTGCTGTTAAATTCTTGGCATATCTGTCAGAAAAAGTCAGTATTTTAATAAATGAAAGCAATTTTTAAACTGATGTTGGCAGTCTTGTATGATTATGCTAAGTATTCATATTACTATACAAAGGAAAGTGTTTACACTGAACAACAGTCCAGTCAAGTTCCATTTACACAACTTAAAATCAGAGGAAATGTTTATTATTATCTGATAGCTGAATTTAAGTTAAGAAATCATTGCTGTGGCTCTCTCCTCAGCTCCCAACATTTTCATGCACACTGATGGGGATGATTTTTCACATCAGAGTAATTATGTGATTCCATGTCTTCAAATGGCTGGAAGTTCCTTGAAGGTAAGGACATTCTTCATTTTATGCCCAGAACAGAAGTAGGTTCAAAGAACATGTCAAATTGTACGCGTATTTTAATTCAAATCTCTGCTCAACTCAAAGTCTTCTTATTTATGTGTAAAGTAAAAATTTCATGGTTTGGCATTTGAGAGCTTCAACACAGTTTTAACTTAAATGTTAAAGCCTCTCTACTTACACAAGAATTCCAGGAAAAGCAGAGCCACAACAGGCTGAAGCAAGATGTAAATAAACACTGCACTCCCAGGTCAGTGCAGAAAGCTTTCTCCCATTTTAGCAGCATTTCCCAACTAGAGATCACACAGCCAATAGGGGAAGCTATTATGGACCTATGCTATGGATTCAACAACCTTGTATTTTTCAGAAATAAAAGAACAATATAACATTGACCTTAAAGGCATTAAGTAGGCATGAAAAATAATGCAAAACACTCAGCAACTTCATGATCTTTTTGTCATTTAAAGAACAAAAGAGAACAAGGAGGACCTAGAGAGAACAAGGCAAGAGACGACTGGCTAGAGAGACAGGCAGGAAAACAAGTAGGTAAGTGGGACTGCTTAGAAGACCACCACCTTCTAGGAGCAAGACCTGGACTGCCTCACCAGGTTGGGTTACTCTTCTATCTAGCATGGTGTCATCTTTCCGCCAATTTGGACAACAGAATTACGGCATACCCATAAACTATAATGGAGAGTCTTCAAAGGCTCACAGGGAGAAAGGATCCCCATTCCCTGGAATACTTCCTCTCACTGCCAGTATTATATTTTGTAGAGAGAAATAAACATAAGATATACCAAAGAAAGCAAAATTTTAGAATACTGCATCAAGAAGACTCTAAAGTGACGATATCAAAAGCTGACAGGATCTGACAGGTCCCTCATAAGAATGATGGAATATGGGGCCGGTGCTGTGGCACAGGTTAATCCTCTGCCTGTGGTGCCAGTATCCCATATGGGCACTGGTTGGAGTCCCGGCTGCTCCACTTCTGATCCAGCTCTCTGCTATGGCCTGGGAAAGCAGTAGAAGATGGTCCAAGTGCTTGGGCCCCTGCTCCCGCATGGAAGACCCAGAGGAAGCTCCTGGCTCCTGGCTTAAGATTGGCCCAGCTCCGGCCGTTGTGGCCATTTGGAGAGTGAACCAACGGAAGGAAGAACTTTCTGTCTCCCCCTCTCCCTGTCTGTAACTCTACCTCTCAAATAAATAAACAAATAAAATCTTAAAAAAAAAAAAATAAGAGAGAGAGAGATAAGGGACCGGCTCTGTGGCGTAGCAGGTAAAGCCGCTGCCTGTGATGCAGGCACCCCTTATGGATGTGCATGAACATTCCACTGCAGTATGATTCACACTTGCCAAAAGGCAGAAACAGCCCAAATGCCCATAACAGATGAAAGGGTAAACAAACTGAATATTCATTCAATGGAATTTTATCCAACCATAAAATGGAAAGAAGTAATGATCCACACATACTGTAGCAGCCTTGAAAACATGCTAAGTGAAAGAAACCAGACACAGAAGCCACATATTGCAAGATTCAATCCTATATGCAATGACCAGAACAGTGAAATGCAGACACAGAAAGTAAATTAAAAACTGCCAGTGGGCAGGGAATGGAGGAATGGGGAGAGCCATAATGGGTAGGGATTTCTTTCTGAAGTGACAAAAATGTTTCAAAATTAAGATAGTGGTAATGGTTACACATTCCTTGTAAATATTCTAAAAAATTCCACTTAAAGCCGGCGCCGCGGCTCACTAGGCTAATCCTCCCCCTAGCGGCGCCGGCACACCGGGTTCTAGTCCCGGTCGGGGCACCGGATTCTGTCCCGGTTGCCCCTCTTCCAGGCCAGCTCTCTGCTGTGGCCAGGGAGTGCAGTGGAGGATGGCCCAGGTGCTTGGGTCCTGCACCCCATGGGAGACCAGGAAAAGCACCTGGCTCCTGGCTCCTGCCATCGGATCAGCGCGGTGCGCCGGCCGCAGCGCGCCGGCCGCGGCGGCCATTGGAGGGTGAACCAACGGCAAAGGAAGACCTTTCTCTCTGTCTCTCTCTCTCACTGTCCACTCTGCCTGTCAAAAAAATAATAAAAAAAAAAAGATGTGTATTGAATATGACAATTTAAAAAAGAGGGAATTTTATAATATGTGAATAAATCAATCTAAAAAAGTATTTTAGTATGTGAACTTTATAGTATGTGAATAATAATTCAATTTTTAATATGAAAATAATACCAATCTAAAAAGGAGAGAAATAATAACTCAATCTAAAATAGGGAGTTTGGTTTTTTTTCTTTAAGAGTCTAGCTTTCGACCACAGTGAAGCATCTATTGAGTGTTCTGCTGTCTACCAGGACCTCAGAAGTTGCTGACTGCTTATTCTAGAGGTTAATGCTGAGTGTGGAGAAGCTCATCTTTAGTGGTGCTGTGGTGTAGCTGGTGAAGCTGCTGCTTACAATGCTGGCATCCCATAATGGGAGCTGGTTCGTGTCCCAGCTGCTCCACTTCCAATACAGCTTACTGCTAATGGCCTGAGAAAAGCAGTAGAAGATGGCCCAAGTGCTTGTGCCTCTGCCATCCACATGGGAGACCCAGATGAAGCTCCCAGCTCCTGGCTTTGGTCTAGCTCAACCCTGGCTACTGTGGCCATTTGGGCAGTGAACCAGCAAAAGGAAGATCGTCTCTCTGTGTGTGTAACTCTTTCAAATAAATTAGCAAATCTTAAAAACAGAGAGGGAGGCCGACGCCGCGGCTCACTAGGCTAATCCTCCCCTCCGGCACCGGTACCCTGGGTTCTAGTCCCGGTTGGGGCGCCGGATTCTGTCCTGGTTGCCCCTCTTCCAGTCCAGCTCTCTGCTGTGGCCAGGGAGTGCAGTGGAGGATGGCCCAGGTGCTTGGGCCCTGCACCCCATGGGAGACAAGGAGGAAGCACCTGGCTCCTGGCTTCGGATCGGTGCAGCGCACCGGCGTAGCGGCCATTTGGGGGATGAACCAACAGAAGGAAGACCTTTCTCTCTGTCTCTCTCACTAACTCTGCCTGTCAAAAAAAAAAGGGGGGGGGGGTCAAGAATGACACAGTTCCTGGGGTGGCATCTGGTTCAGTTGTGAAGATAACAGCTGAGATGCCCGATTCCCACATTGGCGTGCCTCACTTCAATACCCACCTTTGGCTCCCAGCTCCAGGTTCCTGCTAATATAGATGGTGGGGGGCACTGGTCACGGCTCAAGTAGTTGGGTCCCTGTCACCCATATGGAAAACCTGGACTAAGTGCAGTGCACCAGCCTTGGCCAATGTGGATGTTTGAAGAGTGAACCAGTGAAAGGAAGATGTCTGTCTCTTTCCTTCTCAAATGAAAAAACGAACAAACCAAAAAAAAGCAAAAAAGAGTAACATGACTCCAAAGGTCGTCAATATCAAAGATATGAAGCACAGCCTATGGCTCGTGGTATCGCAACTTTTACATGTTATGAAGCAACTATGGATTAGCATCTACTGCATCTAAGGGAAAAAAAAGAAAAAGAAAGGTAGATATAGAGACAATTAAGACACAGGCCTGTAGCTCCACATTGCTTACCTACAATTTACTGACCTTTATTTACAGCACTTATGTTATAAATAACAAAACTACTGCTGGGCAGAGAGTCAAAGATAAGTGCGCTACTTAGTTTCTATATCTTTAAGGGAAATGTAAACATGCCATTTGATACAAAAACAAAAAAATCCACGAATTAGATATTCCCAAAGAGCCATAACCTCACGAAGTAAACCCTGCAAATAAAAATTGCAGATAAAAAAAAATTCTAGGTACTCCAAATGACTTCTAAATAATTCTTATGGGGGACAATTTAATCTATACCAGGTGTCGATAAACTTTTCCTGTTACGGACCAAATGGGAAATAATTTTAACTGTTTACCATCTGGTCTGTTTTGCCACTCTTTAACTTAACCATAGAAAATACATAAATGAATAAGCATGGCGGTGGTCCAGTAGCACTTTATTTTGGAAAATGGAATTTGAATGTTATAATTTTCATTTGTCACACAAAACACTATTTTTTGATATTTTTACTCATCATTTAAACATATAAAACCATTCTTAGTTTTCAAGCCATACATAAATAGGCAACAGACAGGATGTGGCCCATATACCACAGTCTGTCTAGAGGGCAGAAACTAGTGTCTATGGAAGATTATCTTTGATGTTGTATTCTCAGTGCATAAAGCAAAGAGACCCCTCTTACGTTGGTAATTCATATTAACTCTCCATGTACTTGTACTGGTAACTTAGAGTCACTTGCACTTTCTCTTTAGGAAGAGAATGTGCCAATAGTCAAAACATGAACACTCTGATATAACAATCATATTTACCATCCTAGACGATCATTTCATGGTCCTGGGTTTATGTCAGATTCTCTCTGGTTAACGAGAGGCCATGTTTTCCTGACACACAGCCAAGAAGCCATGTTCTATGCCTGCATTGCTGAAAGCCACTCAGCCTGGGAGGCATTTTGGCTGCCAACATGCTCCCATTCTAAGACACCCTGAGTCTTTTCCTTCCTAACTTCCACACACAAGAAAACAAAAACGTGGACAGAAACCCCTGGGCAGAAGAGGGGAACGGAGATTTTAAAGGTTCCATCAGCTCAATGTTTACAGAAAGGTGGTTTCACAA